GTACTGAAACTTCAGTGGTCTTCCCGATAGTTTGCAGAACAGTAACGCGACGCTGTATAAAGGTTGTGAGGTCATGAAACGTAACAGCTTCCTTCGTGGAACAGTACTCTTCCCAATCTCTTCGCGTAGTAGTGTCGAGACGAATACTTAACATTCGGATCAGGATGAGGTCCCAATACTCCGTCTTCTCTCCGAGCTGCTTGAGTATTTTGACATTAGCCTCGAACTTTTCCACCAATGAGTGAAGTTCAGCCGCTGATTCTCGTTTAATTGGTGAAAATTCGAAGAGCGAATCGATATACGACTGTTTTAGTCTTATAGGATTCTGGTAGTGATCTAGAAGGAGATTCCACGCAACCATGTAGTTGTTGGCTGAGATGGCGATCGTTTGCACAAGCTTTAGAGCTTCACCGGTGAGTGATGAGCGCAGATAATAATACTTCTGTATGTTGGAAAGCTCATGCGATGAGTGGACTAACGACATGAACAGATCGTGGAAATTTAACCATCGATCGAGAGTACCGTCGAACACAGGCAGTTTAATATCCGGCAGCCGTACATGGGACGTTGTAGAGAAGGATTGTGAATGTGATGAAGAACTCGACGAAGAACCTGGCGTAGGTGGTGTTTTATTAACGGATAGTAGGAACCCCTTTACTTTAAAATAAGAGGTCTCGAAGGTGATGCGATCTTTCAAATGCGCGTCGATATGGGCATCGTCTAGCGTTTCGAGTTCTCCTTGGACGGCATTGAATTCGTTCCAAACGGTGACAAGATGTTCCAACCTCACGGGCACTTCGTGGCATCCGGTATCTTCCTAGTATCCGTCCACGAACTTCACGACAAGTTGGAATGACGTAAGCAGACTCTTCTGCCTGGTCTTCAACGACTTGATGCGGCGATCCGTTGATGACATGATGATGACAAGCGACAACGATCTGGAAAGCGCAAGACCGCGTAGCCCGAGAGGGAAGGTTTAGCGTGAATGGAATTATAATTACCTTGTAAAGGCAATACAAGTGCCTTGTATGAGTAAATTGCAGCGAGGTGTCTGAAGTAGCAGAGCGACGAGCAGTGGCAGATCGTAGCATGTGGTATGACTTCGAGGTCAGAATAGCGAACGCTAATGTCCTAACCAGGGCGGGCGAATGACCGGAGTTCGACGGCCATCCGGTTCGAAGGACCAATGTTGATAGCAGAGTAGGAGGAGCGGAGAAATTGTACCAGGTAAGTCTGTTCACTTGCAGTTTCTGGATTCGCAGGACACCAAGGCGGTCACAATCAGGGAATCTACCACAACACTACTGGTGAGTATTAAAACTTAATTTTTCACTGTGTTCAATCTGCTTTAATTCACTTGTACATTATAATTATCAAACTAATCTAAATATCAATTCACTTCACATTACGGTTCAATACGGCAGGCCTTCCAGATGTCAAAAAAGAGAACAACGTGACGTCTCGTAGGCCTTTTATATCATGGGTAGACGGAAGCTAGGTGGTCTCCATGTTGCTCAATATGGCGTTTCTTCAAACGCATCGTTGATTTTACGTCGATCTCGTCTAACGAGGGATTCCTATTCGATGTGCGATGAAAACTGAAGTACAGATGGCGCAGACACTCTTTCGTACATCGAACAGTCCGAGTGAACGATTTCTAATACTCGACACGAACGACGCTCTTCGCGCAACGTAAACGGGTTTCTTGTTTGTTTCGCGGACACACATGGCTCACATATTACTGTCGCATTATTACTACCTCTCAACGGAATACCCTTCACTATTCCTCTCGTGATTAGCGACGGCAGATTTCGCTCTCCCAAATGGCCATACCGTCGATGCCATAACTCGGTTGCCTTACTTATTTGTCCCGAAAAACATAACATCTCTCTATTATACTGACGCGAGAAAAAGTTCAGCTCGTAAGCAAACCCCACACGTATCAATATATTGACGCGAAGGGGAATTATTGACATTAATATTGATGATGTGAATACAGAAATATTGTCAATACCGATGTATTGACGTCAATATTTAATGTATTGACAATACGATTATTGTCAATAAAAGCAATCGTGTACGGTCCACAGTATAGTTTATTTCGCCTTTCACCAGTAGCTACGACTTTCGATCCGTAAAGTATTTCCAAACGACCATTCGCGAACACTACTTTCATACCGGCAGACTCAACTTTGCTTATCGAAAACAAATTGCATCTTGCCTCCGGAATAAACAACGCTCGGCTCACTGTAGACTCGACTACTTTTTGATCGACCACTGACAACACAGGCACATCCCCAACATATTTGGCTGTTACCCACTCGCCGTTCTTCGCCACGGCTATTTCCATCGGCTTCTCCAACAACGAAAGCTTCGAAAACAAGCTTTTGTCATTGCATATGTGTTCGGTAGCACCAGATTCCACGAACCACTGCACTCGGTTCATCGGTGGCTCTCTTTTGCCTTCACCAATCAGAAACACCACACCGTTGTCGCTCGGTTCCGCGCTGAAAGCCGACGATTTCACTGTTTTCTTCTCTTTTTCTTTGTCGGGGCAGTTCGCAAGTTTATGCCCCTCTTTCTGACAACCAAAGCACTTGAAGACTTTCTTCTTTTTCAGCTTCGGGTTGCGAGCAGCCTTACCACTACCACTGAAGGCAGCCGATTCGTTCTCTCCACAAACATCACTCGCGGCGATCGACTTTCGCTTTATCTCTTCGTCGAGAAGTCTACACACTAAGATTTTTTTACAGTATACCGTAATTTTTTACCGAATATGGAACAGCTGAACATTCGGTAATCTGTTCGGTAATTTTTTTAACTTACAATCCGTTCGGTAAATTTTGTTCCCTTTGTGAGCTGTCAAAATGTACTGACCAGGACTGTAAATTTTGCTGAATGATCGGTGAAGTTTGCAATATAGCGTTCGGTATAATTTTTACCGAATGGCTGTACTTAATTTGCCTGAATTAATAATTAATAACATGATTTTTATTGAATAATTAATTATTTATTTCTAACAACAAACCTGAAGATTCATTTGACTAATCATTTATTTATTATCTAATAACATACATTTTCATCGTGTGTCCGTATATAAAGTATGAACCTGACCGTGGTTAGCGACCCAGTAGCGAACCGTGCACAAATTCGATTTTTGTTGTTGTGGACGAGGTTTTTGTGTGACATTTGGCCATTTAATGTCCATGTCGTCTGAAAGCAATTGGCCCAGAAATGAAAAAGAATTATATAATTAATACTTTCGATGTAAATTCGACGGATTATAGGAAAAAAGTAACATACTTACTAGTCACAAAGGATAGTTGAAGAACACTCAACTTCAAAATGACAGCAAAGCTTTACAGTGTGAAGTGTAAAAATCTGTTCTGTATTTTTTACAAAAATCTGGTACATTACTGCTGTTTGTTTTTGTAAAAGGTTATGTTTACAGCACATTCGTCACAATGTTTAGAGTATTGCGGAATTGCAGCAATTTACAATTTGAATCAGTAATTTTGATTTACAGTTTTCGGTAGATTTCTATAAATTACGGAAATTCAGCAGTTTTGATTGCGGAAAATTGGTAAATCAATAGTTTTTACAAAGATATCGGCAAAAATTACATTTTACAGAACGAATCCAGCAAAAAAAGTACCGAACAAGATTTAAGAAATTTGGTGTGTACACTTAACGAACTCCATCGTTATTTGCTCTTCGGGCTGACTCTCGATAGAAGTCACGACCGTGTCGTACTCAGTACCCAGTGACAAAAGCAAACGACACACGACGTCGATATCGTCAATTTTTCCACCAGCATTCCGAAACAAACGAATGAGCCGATCGTATTTCACAAAATAATCCTGTAACGGACCACCCGAGTGGCGTAGTTCGAATAGCTCGCGATTCAATTGCATACGTTTTGCAACACTTTTCCTCTCGAAAATTCGCACTAATGTATCCCACATCTGTTTCGCGGAGCTCTTCCCGTGAAGCAACTCTAACTGGTCATCGTGAATTCGAGACACGATGATAGATTTGCACTTTTTATCTTTCTTCTGACGTTTCACGAGAGCATTTTGCTTCTGCTGCTGCACTTGAACCGAATCCGCTTCTTCCACTTTTAACTCCTCTACGTCGTTAATTTCGACCTCGATACACTCGACCAAGTCATGTTCCTCTAACAAGGTCAGCATTCGAAATTTCCACGAGACGAAGTTGTGGCCATCAAACATGGCGACTCGGCGAATTTCGTCTTGCATGGAATCCGCCATTATGCAGTACAAAAACACTTAACTTCTCGTTTCCGACACAATCAACACCTATATCACTTTCGCGACGCAACACGGAACCGGTTCTGGGCCCATAACCTATTGGGACAACCGGATGTTTCGGATAAAGACAAAATAACTCGCTAGTTATAACACACGCGTCTTTATTGCTCGAAGTTTTTATACAGAGTGTAAAAAGGAAAATGGCTGCCGAAAGAGGCACGAAAAAGAGATGGATTAAGGAGAGATGCGTACTACGGTAAACGGTATAAACGGTATAACATAAATTATTCCATAATATATACTACATTAGTGCCGTTTTCCGTGGCGCTCGTCTTTCGCTTCCTCGGCTAATCCAAAACACCCGCCGTCCTCACTGCGGTGGCTCAGCCAGTAGAGCTAAGGAGGGACGAGGCAGGCCGAACCGAAGAAGTGTTCGCCTGGGTAGTTCACTGTGGCTACTACCGGGATCTTCTACGGTGAGTAATTGGTTCAGTAATTCGTCACCATCGTCGCCGGGGGGTTCAGAAAAAGGAGCCTCGCTTTTACCCCCCGCTAAAAGTAAAGGACCGCTGCTAGGCAGCCCACAGTGAATAAGGAGAGGAGACTCTCGACACGACACAGACCGTGTCTGGAGACGACGTGAATCAGAACGAAAATCAACCACCGCCGCCATCGTCGCCCCGTCGGGATAAATCGGGCCAGCTATATGATGGCAGGTAAGCCGTAACTTATATGTTTTATTGACGATGTTTTATAAAGTAAGGGTCCACATAATACTCTAAATAAAATGAATTTTATTTTGTCCTACCGATGATCTAATCATTTGCAAATTTCCAAACCGCTACATTTTTTTTCAATATGCTTCTTCTTGATAAGGGATATTTAAATTATAATGGCCCCCAAGCCAGAAAGAATTTTTATTGCACATAATTCGTATTCTGAGATAAGTTGCTACAACCGTTATTAAACTGCAAAAGCAACCTTTTCCTTGCTAGTTTTAGGTCTCTTGAAATGTTTTGGTTGGTCAACTCGTCCTAAGCTACCATGTCGTTCTTTATCGAGATCGTTTTTAAGAATCAAATGAGCTGCATGTGGATCTAATGAAAATCTCCGTTGTTGAGGAATCTCTTTCAAGCTCGTTGGAGTAATCGATGATTGTTGTCTTGGAAGGACCTTAGCCAACGGCTTAGAAGAATGATGTCCACCAGTACGGTTTTTGTCATGCTCGTGTTTTCGAATGTTGATGTCCTTCGAATGGTTGCGGGAAGTGCTAGCAGGTATTTCGTTGAGGTTGGAATACTTCACGACACTGGTTTTTAGTGGATTAATACAAGACGTTGAGCTTTGAATAGTTTCTCTTCCTCTGATTGTTTCATCCAATGGAATGGAAACAGAATCTTTGTCTATGCCGTTGACGGAATTCATAGAGGCAGCATTCCGAAGCTAAAAAAAATGTACTTGTCATTGATAATTCTTGGTGCAAAACAATTTTCAGCACGTGAGGGCTTACCATCATCATCTTCCTTTTGTGTCGCTTTGCGGAATAAAGTACCCACGCAGTGTAAAGGAGCATGATTAACACCGGCACTATAACTCCGGCTACAACGGCAGTTCTTCGAAGCCACGCATGGTATAGACCGAGGAATATAAGAAATAATGCAACGCAAACTGCTATTATCCTTCCATTAGCTTTTCTCTCTTCCTGTAATGAAATGATAGAAAACAAATTATTATTTTTATTAACTATTATTGTTATATTATTATATATAGTATAGTACGTCCAGACTACAGAGTTATAACCACAAACGAAGCGACAGACGACTAACTGGCGAAGAAATCAATTAAAATAATAAGGTTCGCTGTAATAGAATTTCTTTAGCTTGTGCCATCAGCCACCAGATTGGCTAGAATTTTTGTTTTGATTTGAACCACAAACGAAGTGACAGACGGAGCGGCTCGAAAACTTTGGTGACTAACCTGCTATTACAATTTTTCAGTGTACCACATGGCAACACCACTACTACTGGATTGTACCACATGGCAACACTACCATAGAGGTAACTCTAAGACCACTGGGTCCCGAAGAAAATCATTATTATTTTTGGCTCACTCAGTACCAGAACAACGGTCCCAAGCAGTCCCAAGCTATTTCACTCACCCCTGCATGTTCTGCATGAATCCACACACCCCTGATGTTATCTGTCAAACTTTCATAGCGAATCAAAACAAACATAGTGTAGTAATAGAATTTCAACTAGAATAGGGTACGTTAATCGTTTGCTTGGGACCAATAGGCTACTAAAGTGGTGAGCCAATTTAAAATCGTTAGTTTCGTATTGATTGTTGCTACTACTGGATTGTACTAGCATTTTCACAAAATGTATTAGAATGTTTTGGTTCTATCTCTTTCACTCTACTGAAATGCATAAAAAAATGACAAAATGATACACTCTTTGCACACTGTCAAAGAATCATTGTACACAAAATCAACTTTGTTCAAATCAAAACAAAAAAACTAACCCATCTGGTGGATGATGGCACAAGCTTCCAAGAAAATTCTATCACAAACGAAGTGACAGACGGAGCGGCTCGAAAACTTTGGTGACTAACCTGCTATTGCAATTTTTCAGTGTACCACATGGCAACACCACTACTACTGGATTGTACCACATGGCAACACTACTATTGGATTGAACTAGCATTTTCACCAAATGTACTAGAATATTTTGGTTCTATCTCTTTCACTCTACTCAAAACTGAAATGCATAAAAAAATGACAAAATGATACGCACTCTTTGCACACTGTCAAAGAATCATTGTACACAAAATCAACTTTGTTCAAATCAAAACAAAAAAACTAACCCATCTGGTGGATGATGGCACAAGCTTCCAAGAAAATTCTATTACAGTGAACCACATTATTTAAATGGATTTCTTCGCCAGTAAGTCGTCTGTCACTTCGTTTGTGATTCTATTGGCAAATCAAAGTTGGCGCTCGTGGAGAATAGAAGAACTATAAAAGTGATGAGGGTTTCAAAATTTTCCGCGGGGAAGTATACGAGTGCAATCTTAAAATGCTTTTATTTTGCAAATGGAACATTTTATTTACATCTGGTTGCTGCTACAGTGGTAGAAAAGCTCAATTCTATGTGTACACCTAAAAATCTGAAAAGAAATTAATTTTTCTATATTATTTGTCTATTGAGTAGTCCTTAAGTTTTCTACTAACATAGCACCAACCAGATTTAAATAAAATGCTCCATTTGCAAAATAAAAGCATTTTAAGATTGCACTCGTATACCTCACGGTGTAAAATTTTGAAACCATCATCACTCTCATAGTTCTTCTATTCTCCACGAGTACCAACTTTGATTTGCCAATTGCAGTGAACCACATTATTTTAATGGATTTCTTCGCCAGTTAGTCGTCTGACACTTCGTTTGTGATTTGAACATAGTTGATTTTGTGTGCAATATGATCTTTGACAGTGTGCAAAGAGTGTATCATTTTTTTTATGCATTTCAGTTTAGAGTAGAGTGAAAGAGATAGAACCAAAACATTCTAGTACATTTAGTGTTGCCATGTTGTACAATCCAGCTGCAGTGATGTTGCCATCTGGTACACTGAAAAATTGCAATAGCAGGTGCGTCACCAAAGTTTTCGAGCCGTTCCGTCTGTCACTTCGTTTGTGGTTATAACAACAATCAATACGAAACTAACGATTTAAAATTGGCTCACTACTTGACTAGCCTATACGCCTTTTTAATGCACCATCAACGTTGAGTGCGCCACGCGAGTTCGAGAAGTTTACCAAACCGTTTGTTTACATCAGAATAACTATTTTTCACAACGCAAATTTAAGCATTTTTCATTCAACATCTTGCCAATTTCTATCGGTTATTATCATATTGTACGATTTTCCACAGATCTGAACTGATTTGTACCTTAACTATCCACACACAAGAAATCCGGAAGATCATAACCACTAAGTCACTTTTCTAATTTTCGATTTTTCGCACAAAAATATTTCTGTACACCAGCAGGATTTTTGTAAAAACGTTCCAGAATTAAATTTTTCAACTATTAGAAGTTTTGGAGCCCTCCCTTAGCTCAGTCGGTAAAGGCGCAGCTACAAAGCAAGACCATGCTGGAGGTGGCTGGGTTCAATTCCCGGTCCGGTCTAGGAATTTTTCGGATTGGAAAATTTCTCGACTTCCCTGGACATAGAAGAATGATTGGACTTGCCACACATCTATACCAATGCAAAAATGGTACAGGCATCGAAAGCTCTCAATTAATAACTGTGGAAGTGCATCTAGAACACTAAGTTGAGAGCACGCAATAAGCTAATATGCGATATGCAATAAGCTTGAAATGCGAAGAAGAAGAAGAAGAAGAAGAAGTTTTGGAGCATCTCAGATGAATCAATTTATCAGGAAAAGTAAAAAAGCACAAACAAAGTGACAGACAGTGAACCACATTAGTTTAATGGATTTCTTCGCTAGTTAGTCGTCTGTCACTTCGTTTGTGGTTGCCATGTGGTACACTGAAAAATTGCAATAGCAGGTTAGTCACCAAAGTTTTCGAGCGCTCCATCTGTCACATCGTTTGTGGTAGTAGTGTTGCCATGTGGTACAAGGTACAACCATAGAGGTAACTCTAAGACCAGAAGGTCCCGAAATAACGTGCTCAACTTTTTGGCTCAGCTCTGGTACTATCTTCGGTCCCAAGCTAGTCGAATCACCCCTCGAAACATAGGAAAACCCAATAACCCCTCATTTTATCTGTCAAACTTTCATAGCGAATCAAAACAAACATTGCATAGTACTAGAATTTCGACTAGAATAGGGTACGTTAATCGTTTGCTTGGGACAAATAGGCTACTAAAGTGGTGAGCCAATTTAAAATCGTTAGTTTCGTATTGATTGTTGGTACAACCCAGTAGTAGTGGTGTTGCCATGTGGTACACTGTAAAATTGTAATAGCAGGTTAGTCACCAAAGTTTTTGAGCCGCTCTGTCTGTCACTTCGTTTGTGATGGCAACACCACTACTACTGGATTGTACCATAGAGGTAACTCTAAGACCACTGGGTCCCGAAGAAAATCATTATTTTTTTTGGCTCACTCAGTACCAGAACAACGGTCCCAAGCAGTCCCAAGCTATTTCACTCACCCCTGCATGTTCTGCATGAATCCACACACCCCTGATGTTATCTGTCAAACTTTCATAGCGAATCAAAACAAACATAGTGTAGTAATAGAATTTCAACTAGAATAGGGTACGTTAATCGTTTGCTTGGGACCAATAGCACATACGAAGTGACAGACGGAGCGGCTCGAAAACTTTGGTGACTAACCTGCTATTGCAATTTTTCAGTGTACCTCATGGCAACACCACTACTACTGGATTGTACCTCATGGCAACACTACTACTAGATTGAACTAGCATTTTCACCAAATGTACTTGAATGTTTTGGTTCTATCTCTTTCACTCTACTCAAAACTAAAATGCATAAAAAAATGACAAAATGATACGCACTCTTTGCACACTGTCAAAGAATCATTGTACACAAAATCAACTATGTTCAAATCAAAACAAAAAAACTAACCCATCTGGTGGATGATGGCACAAGCTTCCAAGAAAATTCTATTACAGTGAACCACATTATTTAAATGGATTTCTTCGCCAGTTAGTCGTCTGTCACTTCGTTTGTGCCAATAGGCTACTAAAGTGGTGAGCCAATTTAAAATCGTTAGTTTCGTATTGATTGTTGATTGTACCACATGACAACACTACTACTGGATTGTACTAGCATTTTCACGAAATGTATTAGAATGTTTTGGTTCTATCTCTTTCACTCTACTGAAATGCATAAAAAAATGACAAAATGATACACTCTTTGCACACTGTCAAAGAATCATTGTACACAAAATCAACTTTGTTCAAATCAAAACAAAAAAAAAAACTAACCCATCTGGTGGATGATGGCACAAGCTTCTAAGAAAATTCTATTACAGTGAACCACATTATTTTAATGGATTTCTTCGCCAGTTAGTCGTCTGTCACTTCGTTTGTGTAAAAAAGTGTTCCGCTTCCTATGCCTCAAGGCAAAAATTTTTGCTCACAACACTCTTTTTGACGTTCTTCTATTCACCACCAGAGGTTGAATCGATCGTTTGGTTCCCATTAAGAAGGCCTATTAGCACAAACGAAGTGACAGACGGAGCAGCTCGAAAACTTTGGTGACGCACCTGCTACTACATGGATTGTACCATAGAGGTAACTCTAAGACCACTGGGTCCCGAAGAAAATCATTATTATTTTTGGCTCACTCAGTACCAGAACAATGGTCCCAAGCAGTCCCAAGCTATTTCACTCACCCCTGCATGTTCTGCATGAATCCACACACCCCTGATGTTATCTGTCAAACTTTCATAGCGACTCAAAACAAACATAGTGTAGTAATAGAATTTCAACTAGAATAGGGTACGTTAATCGTTTGCTTGGGACCAATAGGCTACTAAAGTGGTGAGCCAATTTAAAATCGTTAGTTTCGTATTGATTGTTGATTGTACCACATGGCAACACTAAATGTACTAGAATGTTTTGGTTCTATCTCTTTCACTCTACTCTAAACTGAAATGCATAAAAAATGACAAAATGATACACTCTTTGCACACTGTCAAAGATCATATTGTACA